TTACTATTGATTTCTTGTTCTTTTACGACATTTGCTTTCTCCATCTTTATTGCACTCGATGAATAATCAAATGTGAGAGTACATGTTAGGTGCGGTATACTTATTTTGGTTGATTTAACATTTCTGTTTTGTTCTTGCTTACAAATTTGTTGTTTTAGTTCAGGTTCAACATATCGTTTTCGTGTTCAATGGAATGCGCTATTAAAGGAAGAATCCCTCTATATTTTTTTAAGGAAAAATTGCAGCCAAGGTACTGAATCTTTCATTTAATTGCAAACTTTGTTTAAACCTTTCATTTGTGTCACCCACGATACCAAACATTTCAAAAATAAGAACATGGAGTCCAAATGGATGAAAATCAATTTGACCATTAGTTGACCAGAGTACTTGATTTTGACCAAATATAAAAAGATAAAATGGTAACTTTATAATTTTAATAAAAATATAAATAAGAATTTAAATTAAAAAACCTGGATCTTTCTCACTCACGCCCATACTCACATCGCCATTGTTTCACTAGTTTAGTAATTTTATGACTTTTTTATCGTGCTGAAATTCAAAAGGGAATGAATGAGTTGAGATGAGATTGGGAAAGGCAGCTTCTGCAAAACACAAAACCACCAAATTCCTATTTCGTTTTCTACGTAGATCTATTGTGGGCTTCTTCTTCGTTTGGGCTTCCTCATCTTCATAGATCGGCCAATTTCTCATTGTAGATCTGCTTTGGGATTCCTCTTCTGTCTTCAAAAGTTTATCGATTAATCGCATCCAATTGGCCTCGACAAGATTCCAAGACTTTCATCATTGTGCGCAGCGGTGCTCACCGTCTGTGTAAGATATCTAAAGTGGAGTATGCACTGGTTTGCTGCAACGGCACGACTATAAAATTGGAGTTGGATACGTGAGTCTTGATTTCTCCTAAAGCCTCTGAGAAATTGGTTTTTGTTACTTGTTTTATCCACCACTAGTTCTGGTAGCGACCGAGGCGGTTGTGGTTGATGTCGATCAACAAAATTTTAGTGCATAAAAGGTGGTGGTCAAGGTCTGCTGATTTTGAGCCCTCGACGGCGATGTGAACTTTGGGTGAAAATGATACTACGGGGGCTTATTTTTTTAATTTAAAATTTTGTTTATTTTTTA